TGTTGCATGCGGATGGGTCAGCGGGCATCAGGTTTTTTTAAAATAATATTTTATTATTTTCATTTTTTAATTATTTTATTATTCATTTTTTATTTCGCTGAGTCGTCATCATTGTGGACAACGCTGGATGTCGTGACTGACCCTAGATTACATCGGTGGATCCATCTTTTGTATTTATTTTTTACAAGAAAAGACTTTTGTTGTGTTTCTTTCCAATTAAAAGGATTTTTTCAAAAGTCTAGACTTTATTTATCTTTTACTTTAAACCCTTTAGTGAATCGGTGGGGGTAGGCGTACATACCTAAGAGGGCCTGGTATGACTTGTGGGGGCACCCCACGCATTTTTTCTTTTTTTAAATAGGGGGCCCTCCTAACATTCCTGCTTGACCTTAAGGGCCTGGTATGGTTTGGGAAGGAGACCCCATGCTGGGTTTTTTTTTTCTTTTCCTTACATATTGTTTATTATTTCCTAAACTTTTTTTAAATTTCTCTTTTTTTTTCATTTATTTAAATATTTGTTAAATTTTTTTTAAAATTTGTCTAAATTTTTTTCTATTCTGCTCATTACCTCAGAGGTACTGAGCAGATTAGCTGAGCCGATTGTTGCTCGGCGGCATTCGGCTGTTTACTCATTGCCGTTGGGCCCCTAGGCATCAATAACAGCTTCTGGAGTATTGTTTAAAACTAAGCAAGTTTTCTCAGGATGCTATTAGATAGCGTTTTTATATGTAATCTTGTGTGTATTTTTATGTAATATTGGTGTTTTTATATGTAATATTGGCCAGATTTATATGTAATATTGTGTGCTTTTATATGTAATATTGTGCTGATTTATATGTAATATTGTGTGTTTTTATATGTATAATTGTATCTTTTATATGTAATATTGTGCAGATATATGTAATATTGTGTGTTTTTATATGTATAATTGTGTTTTATGTGTAATGTTGTGCTGATTTATATGTAATATTGTCTGTTTTATACCTATAACTGTGTGTTTTTATATGTAATATTGTGTGTTATATATATAATATTGTGCTGATCTAAAACTACAAAGTTGAGGATTCGATTATGGAAATGGAAAAGCGCACTACCTAGGAGTAACCACTACTAGAGATATGGCCACCGAAAGGTTTAAGAAAGGTTTAAGAGACAGTGTGCATGCTCTATGAACAACAGGGTGAGGAGCCCTGTATGGACCAACAATAGACAGATATATTGAGAGCGCTACTACTGATTAAAAATTAACTCACATTTTTGGATGTCACTATGTCATCTGGGAGACCATCTATCATACAAAGCACTACCCATAAGAGACGGCTCCCCAGCGCCTCTTGACTTTATACCATCGCGGCGGCGGTCTATTGTTACTGTAATCCATGGTAGTTTCCCTTCTCTTTGCTGCTCTTCCTTTTTAAATCCTTTTCTCTTCTCATGCTGGGGAGAACTTCCGTTTTGCAGCAGACTGCCTCTTCTCTGGAATGTTACATGGTGTCTGTGTGCGCACTCCCGACCTAAGCCAGGACTACAGGATGACGTCTTCCCAACATCCACATCCACTTTAGATTGGCAACAGCTGCTGCCTGCGCTGTTGTTTTAAGGTGCCCATACACTGCATGATTCTATCGTACGAAAATCGTGCAG